CAATGCACCGATGGAGCAACTCACCAAGAAAAAGGCTCCTCTGTGGTAGTACTTCTGAAGGAACTTGTATTTGCCCTTGGATGCTTTGTTGGTGATGACTTTGCCATTGTTGCGGAGCTCAGTCCTGCGCTCCTCATCCTTCATATTCCTGAATCTCTCAATGTCTGCCTTTTCCTTCTCCATCCTGCCAACACAAACAATTTACACTACCAAATTGGTCAAGGCGGAATAACCGGTATTCAAGCAGTGTTTCACAATGAAACAAGTTGGAATGTTGTTGCAATATTCTTCACAAAAAAGCCAAAGGCTTTCCATCATGTTTCGAAATAAAAGGTCAGGTTCGACTCTACTCACGCTTCTCTAGCTTCTCTGTCCTTCTTAATTCGTTTCAGTTCACGGACTTTCCAGGCTTCGTACTCCTCCTCCTCATTCTCGCCATCTGTGTCGAGGGCTTCCAGACCGGCCAGGGTGCGCCGATTCTCCTCAAACTCCTTCTTGGCCTCATCTTCTACTATCTTCAGTGTGTAGCGTCGTCGCTCCTCCTGCTGCCTCTTGGCTTCAGCCTCCAGTTCTCTTTGCTTTTGCTGCTCTGCCTCCCGCTCTGCCACTGTCACTCTGTCTTTTCTAAGATTCAAACACATTCAGGGCACACCAAATTCATTTGGGAAGCTAATAAACCTGATAGAATTGGTAGGATGACATCAGACTTCACCAAGACACTAAATAAATAACAATCACACAGTTCTGGCTTGAAAGCCAGCGGGGATTGTCTTAAATGTACAACAAGGTTCCCATTGCAGAGAATGTGGCACAAAGTCATCACCCATGTTTGAAGCAGCTCTTACTTGCGGATGAAGACTGGTTTGAGTCTGGGCTCGGCTTCATCTTCGCTATCTGTATATTCTTCATACTCAGACTCTGACTCTGATTCCTCCCCAGATTTGCCTTCCTCCTCCACCTCCAGGATCTCCATCTCTTCAGTCTTGCGTTCCAAAGCCCGTTGCCGCATCATTGCTCGACGCCTCTCAATTTCCTGCACAAAAATATTTGAGGCGTGGGGGCGGGGTTTAATGCTGACATTTTAAAAAGGCGTCTTCGGTTTACAGTGGAGCTGTTCCTGCAACGGCACCAAATTTTCATGAAAGTCGGCCTGCAGCGTACTCTATCACTAATCTACACCAACACTATAGTAAAGTCATTCTTATTTCCAAGTAGGACTTATACTGCTGTTGATATTAGTGGGGTTGTGCCTGGTGCTTGCTAATGTGGGGTCCAATCGTTTTTCTTTTTGTGTTGTTTTGATAATCACGTGCCAAAATTTTAGTCGTCGTGGTCGTGAAGCGTCCCGGACGCCTTACGACCAATCGCTGAATATGTCATACTACATGGGGCTACGACGTGTCAAGACAACTCAATATGAGACAATATGTTTGTGTGCAACATGTTTGTCGGCTCAAAATTGGGCTACATTCCTATAGGCTTATGCCGATATTACACTGGTGGGTTGACTAGTAAAAGGACAACCTCTGTAATGAAAATAAGAATGTATTGCAGTTATGCCAACGTAAAATTGTATAAAATTCAATTGAGATGTGAACCTCATCGTCAACTTCTTCCTCTTCCTCTTCTTCATCCTCGCTGCTCTCCTCAGGTTGGGGATGCCACGTCCCTTCATCAGAGTCTTCGCTGCTCTCAGCAACAACTTCAGGCTCTACAATCTGTCGATGCCTGGCGAGCCTGAGCAAAGGTGGAAACAAAGAGGTCAAAATTCCATGTGCACGACATCATTCTGAGGAGCTCAGAATGTCAAAAGCTAGGAGATAGATGATACCTATCCTCAACGTCCTCAGGGATGCGGTTGAGCAAACGCTTTAGACGTGGGTCAGACACATCCTCTTCCTCCTGTTCCATCTCAGGCTCCACTTCCTTTCCCTTTTTGACAAACTGGAAATCCTCCTCTTCCTCATCGGATGACTCCATCGGTGCATAGTCTGGACGTTTCCCTGACACGTATCTCTTCACCTTCACCTTCTCCATTGAGAGCTCACCTGGGAAACAGCACAAATAGATTACGAACTGTTAGGGGTGTCCCGATCCGATACAGTGGTACCTCTACGTAAGAAATTAATTGGTTCCGGAAGAAATTTCTTAACTAGAAAATTTTGGAAGTAGAGACCCGTTTTCCATGTAAATGCCCTAATCCGTTCCAAGGCCGCCAAAATTCAGACAGAAATGTTTTCTAAAGAATAAAAATGCATCAAAATACGTAACAAATACATGTTACAAATTAGATTATTGCACAATAAATGAGAGTTGTGCATCATGTAAAAAAACAAAGAAGAGAGTAAAGAATAAAAATGATGGTCATTTAAATTTTAACTGCGCCCTCACCGTTTTTTTGCCCTCTTTAGTTCATGTTGTCTCTCAGAAGTGTTTTTTGCCTGGCGTTTTGTAAAGACCTGATCAAAGGACGTCTGTATTTTTACCTTTTGTGACTTGAAATTTCTTTCTTAACTAGAGGCAATATTTTCCTGTTGAGGCGTTTTGTAACTTGAAAATTTCGTCGGAAGAGACGTTCCTAAATAGAGGTACCACTGCATTGGTCCAAGATTTGCTCCCACAAAACAATATCGATTATGATGCTCAACATATAAAATCTCTGATATTAGCACTCATACACAAACAGTCCATTCCAGACTCTGTTTTCACCATAGGCTCAATGTGAAAAAATAATTTATTCTGAATCTACTGAAGTAAAGTTGAATTGTTATTTTGCACTTCAGAGTAATTTGTTTGTATTCGAGTTATTTCTCAGGGTCCTTTAATTTATTTTATATTTATTTGTTCAAATGCAGTACAATCTTAGGGGAGAAATGTATGTAATCCAAATACTGTATTTGGAATAAATGGGTCATTTCCTCATCCCTACTGGTGCTGACTATTGTTCTTTGTTTGTATAGGATAACTTGATCAAGTCTAAATTTCATACCAAAAAAGCATGAATAATTCCTGCTGATATTGGATCGATATCGGACAGTACTGAAGGCCATAATATTGGAATTGTATCAGAAGTCAAAAGTCGGATCGATAAACCGTTCCAAATTGCAAAGTCAAACCTTCCCCAAATACATTTTCGCAGTCATATCAGACGATATATAAAACGGTAACAGGACAATGACGATTTGCAAAAAGGGTTTCTGCAATCGACAATAGGGAAAATCAGGTGGAACCAGACTGATGCTTTGCCTCGGCGTTAGATTGATCTTGCTATGCTAGCGCGCTTTTAGCTATCCATTTACGTCAAGTCTAACCTTTCTCATTCCGGACTGGTACGGCTCCAGCCGTGGACTGTATAGGTGGAAGCTTCATGTTGGCTGAATCGTGGTTAGACATGGCTGCCTGGTGGACACACCAAACTCAGATAAATGTTGTAATCCGCTGGAAAAAACAAATAGAACGTGCCAATGCTTCAACTACTGAACATCCGAACGTACATAGCACTAGTACAGCGGTGGACCAAGTGGGTGGAGCCAGGGTCTTCTTCGTCTGCTTCTGCTGTTTCTTCTTCGTCTACTAGTTCTTCTTCGTTTGTCGCTGTTTCATCTTCTTGTGTTGTTATTCTGATCCAATACATTCCATTCATTGAAGACACGTATGAAATTATTTCGTAGTTTTCGTTGATATGATGTGCGAAAAAATTATCCAGTTAATTATAAATGACTATACCTATAATGCTTTCATTGACTACTTTTTGTTTAGAATCGATTATCAGTTAGTCTTTTTAGGCGATGCTGTCCGGCCAAGACAGCTCAACATTTTAGTTTTCTAACTGTATAAAAAGTTTTCTAACTGTATAATAAAACTGAACCCTGGAATCACAACACAGCGTACCCCTCTTGGAAAATAAAAAAGCAAATTAAATCCAAGTGTAGTGTAATTGTCATTGCCTTTCTGACAGTGATGACTTAAAAGGCTGGTCAGCAGGGCATGTGCTTTATGCTTTGCTCTTACATTCAAAATATTTCATAGGCTACTATCTGCCAAAACATTTATTTATATCATTCTTTATTAATGTCCGAGGTGATATTCCATTTTTGAGACATGTCAATGAGGGACTATGAAACTGTCACACCACAGAGCAATGTGGGGTTTGGTACTTGTTCTTGATCAGTGGCACTTCTTAAGTAATTGAAAAGCAAAGTGGCCCCTCTCCCAAAATCTGTCCTTACTGACTGTCACTGTTATTTTTATTCTGCATGCTTTACACCAGTGGTCCCCAAACTACGGCCCGCGGGCCGGATCCGGCCCGCCTCCGCATTTGGTCCGGCCTCCTGAAAATACCACAGAGTATTTTGATTTATTTTTCATCGATGTGGATTTGTATTTGATCACAAAGTTGGGCTTTTGCAATAAAATGTTCCTTAGTTCTGAACCGTTTTCATTATTAACTATTAATTAGTAACTATTTCATAAACACAGATACAATAAGGTGACATTTGGTGCATCTTTCTGTGCCGTTATCTGGCAACGCCAGAAAAAAAAAAATCCGAAACCCGCCCCTCTCTCAGAGAACGGGATCATGGCGAAAAGGTTCGGTAAGAGAAAAATAGAATGCAGGGTATTTAACCCAAAGTGGACAAACGACGTTTTTGTTTTTGTTTCTTTCAGCGCAAAGAAACGTCTGTCAGTCTCATCTGTCAAGAGGCGGCTTCATTTTGTGTGGGTTTCTGGAAAACAATCCATTTTTACATTTCCGTACTCTTGCGGTCACCCTTTTTCTGTTCCAGAATGACCCCGGCCCCCCATCACAGAAGCGAAAGCTTATGCGGCCCTCACAGGAAAAAGTTTGGGGACCGCTGCTTTACACCTTCCCCACTTTAATCAGTCTCATTTATTTGATAAGTTGGTGGGACGGTGGATGATACAGTTTATGTGTGTTGCTCAAGTATGCTCAGACATTTAGAAATATCAAAAACAACATGGGGGGGGGGATACTTGCATAATCTATGAATATGAAATAAAATTTATTCATTTCAAAATTTACAAATGGAAACTATGAATCACACTGGATCTCTGTCTTCTCTCTGCCATTTTAGAGTTGCACCCCTCTCTGTCTGAACAACTTCTCCAGCTTTTCCTCTAGAGCTGAGTTGGTACCTATCAGGCCTTTTACAACATCGCAGGCCCACACAAAATACTGCTGGACCCTCTCAGGCGTCCAACCTGAAAAACACAAAAACGAGAGGGTTAAGGTGCATCTAATAGTGCTTGTATCTTTGTTTTTGTGTGGTGACCTTCTGGTTTCTTTTATTCACGCAAAATTGAGAAACAGCGCTACATTTTGGCCTCAAGCAGGCAAGTAAAGTAATTCATATGCATAACCGATACGTTACATTCAATGTAAAGAAATTGGAAAGGTAGAAAAACAAACATTCTTATGTTTGTATTGTACCAGTGTTGTACCAGTTTTCAGCAAAACAATCTGCAAAAGACATGCTGGTGAGAGAAAACCACTTAAGGAATCAATTACCTCAGATAGGATCAAAATGATATTCATGTCAAATTTGTTCAAAATTAAAAATAAGCACAATATTAGACAAGAAGTCGATTACCAACAGGGGTGCAACGGTTCAAATCCCTGAGGTTGTACAGTTTGTCTGCCAGTTTGACCAGTTTGGCCTGGTGGCTGCAATGAGGCGCATGTTCCACCTGTAGACGCTTCCTCTCCTGTTTGGGCAGACGCTTATCGTCTGTCACCTCCTGAACAATGCGAGCAACAATCTGTCCAAACTTTGTTTCCAGCTCTTCGGGCTTTGTGTCTGTGTCCTCCAATGTGTCATGAAGAAGAGCAGCCTTCCAGAAAAGAACAGCACAAACAAACACATGTACAAAATAAATTGATTTGTGGATGCAACTGAACAGATTTGCATGAATGCATCGACTTTAAGTCTGCATACTTGTAATACCACAATGTCGGTGACGCCAGCTTCATGGCTGAGAATCCTTGCTACTCCTTTACAGGAAAAAAGAAACAGAGCAGAGTATCAAAGAGAGTAATGGTGGGGAAAAATTCTATTTATCTTTGCTGTTCCTCCACTGAAATATATTTAATGAAATACTGAATAATGATATTAAGATGGAATGGACTTGTTCTCATGTCAGTGCATTATTAGTAGTAATTTTTGTTATTCAAATATATTTAGTCTGTAATGGTCTAATAGTCTGTCTCCTTATCTTAAGGCAACAGTCTCAAACCTGGGCCTTAAACTGGACAGTGATTTCAAACTTGACTGGCAAATTGGTGCCGTTGTTAAATCCAGCTTCTTTCACCTTAGACAGCTGGCCAAAGTAAAACCTCTCCTCTCTCATGAACACTTTGAGACAGTAATTCATGCCTTTGTCACATCCCGGCTCAATTACTGCAATGCCCTTTACTTTGGAGTCAGCCAGTCCTCCATTAAGCGCCTTCAGCTGGCCCAGAATGCCGCTGCTCGCCTCTTGACTGGTACTCGTAAGAGGGAGCACATAACTCCTACTCTGGCATCCCTTCACTGGCTCGCCATGCATTTTAGAGTTATTTTCAAGATCCTCTTATTTGTTTTCAAATCTCTAAATGACCTCGCGCCACCTTACCTCTCTGAGCTCATCCGCCCCTACACACCCGCCCGGCGCCTCAGGTCTGCGGACCAGACATTATTAGAAGTACCAAGAACTAAACTGAGGCTCAGAGGGGATCGAGCCTTTTCTGTTGCTGGTCCCTCTCTCTGGAATGACCTCCCACTGAACATTCGGCAAGCCTCCTTGCTGCCCATCTTCAAAACCCGCCTCAAAACTCACTTGTATTCTTTGGCATTCGACTCAGCATGACTTAGATTTGTTCTTGGTTTTGCTGTTCGGTGCTTTCTACCGTCTTTATTACCGATTTGTTTTACTGTTTGTTGTATACGTTAAATTGCTCCATGTACAGCACTTTGTATGCAGCGATGGCTGTTTGAAAGTGCTCTATAAATACAGTTGAGTTGAGAACAAATGGCATTAGTCTTTATGCAGTGGAAATAACAACAACAAATAAAAAACTTAAAATGACAACAACAAAAAACTTTCCCCCCTCGCCGTTATACAGCTGGCGTGTAATATTTAATTTTCGCTTACACTGGTCATCAAATAATACTTTTGAAATGCTTTTTAAAAATGTATTCTTCTATTTGAGATTTGACATGTAATATGCAACAACATCGCTGTTACATATTGTTGTATTAACTGACGTTATTTGACTTCTTTTACAACAGGCAAGTAATTATGCTTTCTCAATATAAGATCCACCTAGGTTTTTGTTGTAGTCACAGTCTTCCTTCCGATAGTTGAGCTAAAGCGCTTACCAGACGTACTTACCAATCGGGTGGTTAATATACGGAGTTTGTTCTGTGTCTTTTCGACGCTGATTTCGATGCTTTTCAGCGGCGAAATTAACCGTCTCTAACAACAACACAGCGTCTAAATTCATGACACACCGTTTACGCAATTCGAATTCACGACTCCAGCCTCTTGTATGTAAGCGTAACTGTTCGTTTGTTTTAGGTATCCGGTGGGAAACACCCACTAGTTGGATATTTTACTTCAGGTTGGTACATGCTTTAGTCCTCAATGCCAAGTTGTGCGTTCAATTACGCACATTTCAATGGTAAATGGTTAATTGAAAATTCCTGAATTTGTCCAAGTTTGTTGTTGTTGTTTTTGTTATTATTATTATTATTAATTTATTTATTGATTTATTGATTTATTTTTAAACATTGTTTTCATGATTTTCAGAACTTGTTGACCAACATGCTTTCCACATTCACGACTATGGTTTATTTAGTATTCAATTAACCAAACATTTATATTTTAAAATGTCAGAAGTCAACTGGGTAACCAGAGAAAACCAATGCAAGCATGAGGAAAACATGCAAATCCCACACAGGAAAGAAGTACTCAAATCCCAAACCCTGAAACTCACAACTGTGAGAAAGCTGTACTCATGGTTCGGCATTAAGTACATGTATTTTATAAAACAACAGGTCCTATATTGACCTAGAAGCAAGATCAACAGAAATTGTTGTTGGTGGTATCTTTGGTGTGTTTGTTCCTGCACACAGTGCACAGTTTATTTGGAATGTCAGTTTTCATCTGTTTCCTGTCAGATTAATTCACACAAAACATATGTAGGCCATATGGCCTCTCACTTATGTAGCACTTTTCCACCTACTGAGGAACTCAAAGTGCTCCATATTGACTTCACAATTACCTACTGATGACACAGCATCAGGACTCAGAGCAACTCTTGTTCAATATCTTGCTCAAGGATACTTTGACATGGTCACAAACCGAGGATCAAAACCACAATCTGGGTAAGACAACCAACAACATGGCACCGCCACCTAAATGAAATAAACCACTAAATTAGCAACTAATGTTAGCTTGTGTACAGGGCAGTTTATGTGAAACTTTTTAATCAATGAGTTAGGCTCTGACTCATTGATAAAAAAAAGGACTGTCAGGGTATGACTATAGTCAGTGTATTTATCTTTTTAGAAAGTGTAGTAAAAGGATAAATGTAATGTTATATGAGCTAGTAGAACGGACAAGCGTCAAAGTAGACCCTTCGGTGTTTAGAACAGATACGTGATTTACAAATGGGCTATTGTTGAAGTTTTTTTGTCAACCAAAACTGTCAGTTATGGCAACCCGGAAGGGTAAGATGATTGGCACAAGGTTTGTCCAATAGATGGCGGTATACACACCATTTGCCAACAGCATGAAACAGGGAAGAAGAGCCCCGCCCCTGAAAGCTTCGATCAATATTTCAAAATGATCACTGTTATCATTGCTCACGTTCATATGATAGTTTTTCAATATCTAATCACAATTTAAGTAGTTGGATACAACTGCCTTGCGATAAGAGTACCATGATTTTATTGTTTACAGTTTGTATAGGATAGCAAGTGTTTGTTTTTAGCATTAAGCTGATTTAGCTAGCAAGAGAAAAAAAAAAGCCACTGCGCCGAGGTTAGCGTACTGTGCGTCTTCATTTATATCAAAAGATGCGCTTTATATGTGGAGTGTTTTTAATGTTGACTATATGTCTGTGATCTGTGGATAAGGACGCAGATTTGGTTCGCCAGCATGGCTTCCAGTGCCAGGAAAGATTCCCCGGAGCTTCCTGACTTCTCTCTGCTCAAGAGACTTGCCAGAGATCAGCTCGTCTACCTCCTGGAACAAGTAAGCAGCTAACAGCTCCCATGTAATCGTGTAACCACTTGAAGGTGTTTCTTCTTTCAAGAAAACGGGATTGTGTATTCATTAAATCTTACACGATTGCACCCGTCTACTGCCGCACGTAATCTGCAGAGCAGCTTTAACGCCTGTGTCTTAAACTAGTGCTTCTCATACTTTTTACACCAATTTCCAAATTGATTTCCAAATACCACGTTAATGACAATATTAAAATGTAGTTAAGTAGTAGGCAAAAGTGTTCAGCAGAAACAAGGCTGAGGTTTTATTCCTAAACAGTGTACTGTACTTAACATGATTGATGCCACTAAAACATGATGCCCGAAGCACTAAAGCATGGGAAAATAAACTTGCATAAAAAATGATTCAATGTAAATGTTGCACATAACATTTAAGTAAAATTTGTATGGAAATAGATGTTTGACAACAAACAGTTGTTAAAAATACATTGAAATATCTTGTACTAAAAAGGTAAATACTGTACATCTGAACTGCACTTAACAAATGTACTGCACATTATTAAAAAAAACAAAATCGTCCAGCTATGTATGTGTTCACGACACCACTTATTTTACTTTTTGTTATTTCAATTAGTCTTTATTTCTCTCAATATAGCTGGCAGGGTTTTTCGTTTGTATTTTTGTAATACAGTATGTGCAGCTTACTGTGTATACACGGGTATGCCTTATGATAAGTGAAAAAAGTTCAGTTTTTTTTTTTTTTGCGAGTGCTCATTTAGACTTCCAACTAAATCTTACATAACTAGCCCTTGTGTGTGTGTGTGTGTGTGTGTGTGTGTGTGTGTGTGTAATGAGTAAAATACTGTATACTTTTTCATCACAGAGTCCCCATTTATTCTTTTTTTTTCGTGCAGCTTCCAGGAAAGAAGGACCTTTTTATTGAGGCAGACTTGATGAGCCCGCTGGATCGTATTGCCAATGTTGCCATCCTGAAGGTGACTCTTATCCACTGTTTCAATTAAATCCCTTTAACAATGATTCGCAATGAATATTTTGGAACATGATACATCTCTCTGTTATTTTAACAGCAACATGACGTTGACAAGCTTTACAAAGTAGAATATAAACCCATAATTAGCACAGCAGATCAGTGAGTAGTCATCATACACACACATAGAAACATACTCAAGCACACTTCAACATGTAGATGTTTGACATTATGACTTTCCTTCTTGAGGCTCTGTTTTCTGATCCGGCCAAGAATACGAACAGTGAAGTGGATATGTGGTAAGTTTGTCCTCAAATGTTTATTCGTTGTTTTATATTGAATTAATCATTTCTAATTCTCAGCCCTTACAAGCTAATAACAGTTGTCTTAAGCTAACAAAAATTTATTTTGTGACCACAGTTATATATACAGGCGCTCCCCGCTTTACGAACTTTCGTGTTGCGAACAACGGTACATACGAACATTTTTGCGGGTACAGGTATGTCGAAAAATGTTCTCGGACAGAGATGCTGTCAGTCAGATTTTGTATTGCGCGCCTTTTTCCGAGTACTGTCGTACTTCTTTCCGCCGCTAATACCGACGTGAGGTGCTGTGAGAGGAGGAGGAGGAGGAGGAAACGCTTGTCCCCATGAAGAAGTTCGAGACGGAACTCTCTCCCCCTCCATCATCTCCTTAAGCCTTCGAGTACATCTTCCAAAAGTATGTTAAACTTCATAAGCCTTAAACATACTTAGATAAGCCTTAAACATACATTCCATACAAAATATAGCACTGAAGCAACTTACGTACGAATTCAGCCAGCGAACGATCCTTCGGAACGTATCTCGTTCGTTACCTGGGGAGCGTCTGTAATGATTTATTATTATGACTTTTTTAATATAAATTGAGATGGGTCACAATAGCTTATCGCTGGTGTTGGGCTTAAACCGTGTACCTCCAAAATACAGCAATCCCTCATTTTTCATGGTTAATATAGACTAGAACGCCCCCGCGAAAGGTGAAAAACTTTGAAGTAGGATTTGCCTGTGGCTAGTATGAGTGCCCGTGGTATGTTCAAAGGCTCTGAGTCACCTCATCTCTTTGTTCGGCATGCAGGGAAACGTTCTCTCTCGCGCACCAACATGAAACGCGTCTTTCCACAATATGGTTGCTAATATGGCTGTCTTTTTATTTTTTTAAGTTTTTATTTTTTTTTTTAATGAATACAATATTTCGGAAAAACTCGCGAAGCGCTGTAGCCGCAAAATGTGAATTGCAAAATGGCGAGGGATTACTGTACTCACTTTTAAGGAGACCCCAAAAATGGCATGTTTGTTCAACCATTAAACTTGTATCCCCAAATAGAGCAAGCCATTTTCAACGCTTGAGATTGGTTAATAATATGTCAAAATAACATCCATGTGTGGACTGACCAATACTGTAGATTGGTGAAAAAAATATTAAAAATAAATTTACCAAATTGTGACCGATGAGATTTCGCCCCAATGTCGGCGATATGTAACAGTTTCAGGAGACATGAGATTCCAATTTAGAACCTATAAAATTGTGCCTCTGCTAATGTTCAGCAATTTCTGTGCCTTCTCTCCACAGATGTGGTCCAAGCAGACAAAGCAGCAGGGAAATTTAGAAGATACAAAATTATATTTACTCCTCAGAAGGTACCTGATGTTCTGGTGTTCAAACAAAAAACATTGATATATTCACACTGCAGTTATTGATAATAATGTGCTGTTCATGGTATGTCTTCTAGTTTTATGCATGTGAAACGGTGCTGGAGGAGCAGGGAGTCTTTGGAGGTAGTATCTCTCATAACTATTGCATTCGTTGCTGCTCACCTGTGTTATGAAGGATGGTGGGGTTATTTATCCATCCATCCGTTATCTTATCCTCACAAGGGTCGTGGGTGTGCTGGAGCCTATCCATGCTTTCGGGTAGTAGGTGGGGTATACTCTGAACTGGTTGCCAGGCAATCGCAGGGCACACAGAGACCAATAACCACAATCACATCTAGGGACAATTTTGACCGTTGACTCAACCTACCATGCATGTTTTTGGAATGTGGGAAGAAACCAGAATACCCACAGAAAATCCATGCAGGCACGGGGAGATCACGCAGGGCCTGGATTGAATCCCATGACCTCTGCACTATGAGTTGGACGTGCTAAACAGTCTACCACATGCTGCCCTGTAAAAAAATATATACCTGTATATACTAATAAGAATAATTATTATTGTTATTATTATAATAATTGTTAATTGTGGTAGTATTATTAGTATTATTACTATTATTAGTATTTCATATTTTACAGATGTGACTATGGATGAATGGGCCTTCTATCTACTTCCTTTGGACGATGACATCATCAGTCTGGAACTCCCAGAGTTTTTTCGGGACAATTATCTGGTATGGATTACACAACATGCCTGTGCTAAATATCCCTCATTTCGATTAGACATTGTTTTTTAACGATGCAAATGACAAAACTAAAAGCAAAAATTGACTGTCAAAGCAATAGAACATTTTCTTTTCTTATACATGCTGTGTTAATAAATAGCCATAGCTAGGTTCAACGGCCCTTCGAACATAAACGTCCATCCGTAAGTCACACTTCTATGTGGTGTTCACTCAGGCTGGAGACTTGCGTTGGGTGAGGACAGCTGGTAGCGCTCTCCATCTCCTCCACTCCATTTATGGACCCTTTTCAAAGGTTTACGGGATTGGAAGGTGTTCAAAGGTACAGTAGATCCTTTAACATAAGTCGATGAGGATTTGAGTTTTATGCTCATTTATTATCTTTTGTTTTGGAAAAGATGGGTATCTGACAGACAGTCTTTTTGTCCATTGTCTTTCATCAGATGGTGTACGAGTCTTGGAGAGAGCAAGCGGAAGAGGGAGACTATAAGGCTCGGAACACTGAAATAGGAAACGTTTTCTTAATTGATAGGGGTGAGGAGATGTGAGTGGATTTCTGACTTTGTGCCATGCTTGTTTTGCTCACTAATTCTGTCCAATTACAGATGTGGACTTTGTCACCCCTTTGTGCTCACAAGTGGTTTACGAAGGACTTGTGGATGATGTATTCAGAATCAAATGTGGTGGGTAACAAGCTCGTCACTGTTCTTGGAGGCACTACATCGAAGCTTCACTAAATAAAACTGACAATATGACATATTCAGTTGTTTAGGCCATTGCTTGAAATACTTGGTGCAATACTTTGGAATGGGAATGCCGTCTCCATCATTGCCATTGCAATGCATTGCGGTTGTATCTTTTACATGTAAAGTGTAATGCTTATAATAGAAATTTGTCAGACCATGGAGGTTTTCTTTGTGCATAATGTCATCACAGATCTTTTTTTTTTCCTCTAAAGGGTGTGTGGAATTTGGGCCTGATGTTTCGTCCTCAGACAAAAGCATCAAAGTCATGCTGAACTCTCAAGATAAGGTCAGGCCGGCTTTAAAGGTGCTAAATGTTTTCTCTCAAGCATGTTTTTTTTAAAGTTGCTTGTCTTGTAGGTCTTCAATGAAATCAGAAACGAGCATTTCTCCAATGTATTCAGCTTCCTCAGTCAGAAAGCCAGGAATCTCCAGACTGCATATGATGTAAGTCGAGAAAATAACCATCTTCATTGGACACAGTGTGACTGAAACGTTTCCTTTTAAATTCCACAGAAGCGTCGAGGAATGGACATAAAGCAGATGAAAACGTTTGTCTCCGAAGAACTAAAAGGGTTGAAACAAGAACATCGGCTCCTGAGCCTGCGTGAGTGTTGAAGCAAAACAATCTACATCGGCTGGATTTGATTTGCTTAAGCTTGAACAAACGGCGTGGCTGTCACTGATCTCACATAGACATCAGCGCAAGTGAATCAATGATGAAGAAGAAAACGAAGCAGGACTTCCAGGAACTGTTAAAGACAGAACACTGTAGGTTACTTCGAATACAGTTTTTTTTGCGTTAGGATGTGGCTAAACACTGGTTCCATCCTTCTTCTTTGTGCGTTCATCTGGCTAATCAATTATTTCATCACATGCACACAAACACTGTCCTTTTTTTTTTCTCACAGCTTTACTTGAAGGTTTTGAAATCCGTGAATGTATTTCTTTCATTGAGGAACATATCAACAGGCAGGTGGGTTTCCTTAAAACCGTCAGTGTTGCCATACAGTATCACGCATGTCGTTAAATGTGAACCTGGTGTGATTCTTTACTTTAGGTCTCCATGACGGAAAGTCTTCGACTGCTTTGTCTTCTGTCCTTAACGGAAAATGGTAAGTTGTTTTGACCTTTATGTTTAAAGTGCTTTAAAAAAAAAAAACAAATCTTCTGCTTTATTGTACATGAATGTAATTTGTTGTATCCTGCAGGACTCCTGCCAAAAGATTACCGCTCTTTAAAAACACAGTATTTACAGGTGAGATTTCACATCCGCTGCTGTTCTTGGCCTTTCATTTGTGTCACAACATAGCATAGTACCATGAGTAAAACAATTCAAATACGCAAGCTTTTGCTGCTGAAATATTTTAATCCTCTCAGAAGCTGTATGCTAAAGCCCCGTTCACACGGCACACATTTGGTCCGACGCAGCTCCGAAATATTTTGTTGCGATGTATTTTACACCGGAGCAAATTTTGTGGAGCGTTCACACGTGCAAAGCCGCTGAGCGTGACAACTCCGGCGCAGCGTCGAAGCAGCGAACTTGCGGTCACACGTGCACTTTCTGCTCCGGACCAAAACGACAGGAATGCGGAAGTAAAACAGGTTCGGGTCGGGCTTCTCTCTCGCGGACTTTTATTTATTTTTCTTTTAATAAATATTATGGTGGACACTATTCTGTCCTTGTTCAGAATAGATCCACTTGTCGGCAGTCGTGGAATAAAGACGTGTTTACAGTCAATCGTGTGTGCTCCTGATGACTGCCACGATATATGTTTTAAAAAATGTATACTAAAACAATGTGCGGATACTAAACTAAGGAATACTTGTTTTAAAACAAACAATTTGGATAAAACAGAGAATGCGCTGTAATTTAATTGCTATTTAACTGCTAAACAGGAGCGCAGCCGGCCAGACCAGTGCGCATGTATGTTAATTTCGTTTAAACAATCCTGTAGAAATACTGCTTTCTCGATTCTCGTCTTGATCGTGAGCGCTGTCTTCACCGCTTAAATCGCCGACACTTTTACCGGGGACGGGGGTCCACGGCCGGGCTTCATCTGTGTCGCTGGCCTCCTCGTCACTGTCGCCTGCAGTCGGATTCCGTGCGTCTGGTTGCGAGCGTAGCGAGGCCACTCCCCCGCAAGCGAGCATTTGCTCTGGAGCAAATTTAATCCAGCTGCGTTCACACGTGCACATTTGTTTCGGCGTAGCGTCGCAAACGAGCATTTGCTCTGGAGCAAATTTTTAAACCACCTCCCTGAGGTGGATCAAATTTGGTCCGGTATAAGCTCTTTAGTGGAGCTACGCCGGAGCAAATGTGCACGTGTGAACGCTCGACTGGATTTATTTCGGAGCTGCGTCGGACCAAACGTTGCCGTGTGAACGGGGCTTAAGACTACAAAGGTGGATCTCAATACACGACAGAACCATAGCTTGGTTTCATTTGTTTGAGTAGTTAAATTCAAAAATGGAAATTCAAACATTCGTATATCATATAGCTTCCTTAAACAAATGGGGGAAAATACTTTTTAGGTGAATTCCTGCACAAATTATGTTTTATAACACAATCTTGCGTCTTATATAATATTTTGATTTCTCTGAAATTGTAACTTATTTGTCATCATTAGCTTTCAGCTATATTCATTAAAAATGCAAACAATAAAATCTGAAATATTTTGCTCGGTGTGTCGTAAATCTCTAGACCCCGTAATGTATGAGTTTAGCTTTTTCAGTCAGATTACTGAGAAAAAGAAAAAAAAGATATTCTCTATTCATTGTGATGCACCTGTATGTAAAACGCGTACATCTCTGAAAGACAGGTTTGAGCCCTTACTTGACTCACAAAATGCATCTCAAAGCTTTGTAAATAATTCTCTCAGTTCATCTTAATAGTAACTTTACACTTTTGTAATAGGAAAGTTAATTAAAACAGCATTTGCAGTGCATTTAAGCACGCAAAAATCCATCCGTTTTTGACCTGTTGCTCACAGTCTTGTGAGTGGCAATTTATTGGTGTGTCGTCATCCCTTCTCTGCTTGACCTTCATTAGAGTTATGGAGTGGAGCATCTGCTCACATTTGCCAACCTCAAGCAATCGGGGTTGCTTGTGGAGCAACAGCAGGCTGAGACGCTGACTGTTATGGAGAGCAAAGTGGGTAAACTGGTCAACGATAAGACAGCAGGTACAGTAAAGGCAAGTTGTCTGTTGCAAGATTTAATAGGATGTGACCTGATGGGACTTATTTTAGTTTGCCTTTTTTTTTCCAAATTCCTTTTCTAGGGAAACTAACAGATGCCTTTTCGTCCTTGGCAAGGAAAAGTAATTTCAGAGCCCTCAGCAGAAAACTCAATTTGGTATAATGTCATCAAGTTTTCTTTGAAGTCCGTCGTATTACATTAAATCATTCTGTTTATCTTTGGTCGTTACCCTGCTCGTATACTGTGTTATTTTACGAAAAGGTGCCAAAGTCAGATGAGGAATATGACCTGCGTGTCCCAAGGGACATGGCATACGTCTTCAGTGGCGCCTACATCCCACTGAGCTGCAAGCTCATTGAGCAGGTAAAGAAGATGGATTTGTCTTTTTTTTTTTATTCAACTGGATCAAAGATGCCCTTTCGTGCGCATTTCGCAGGTGTTAGAGCGAGACGGTTGGACTGGGCTTGAAGAAGTTACCAGGTTGCTAAATGGAAATGAGTTTGCCGTCACAGGTAAGACGTTGAACAGATTTAATGCGGTTGGGTCACTCGTCACTTGTTTGCTATCTACAGCTTGATGCTTTTCACATTGAGACCGTCCAGGCCACGCCCCTTCCGCTATTTTCATCACAGGCCATTGCCATGTATGAAATATACATTTTGCATATTTTCAGATAATATTATGCACTGTAATAATATATGTAACTGATATCCATATAGCCATCCATTCATCCAGCATGCCCAGTCAACCTGCCATATATGGTATAATATGATCAATGCCATACCTGAAAGAACAGCAATCCTTACATGATTTTGAGTGTAGCATATTTTTATGATCATACAAATACAATCATGGAACGTCAGCGGTTCAGAATAGTTAATAAACATCAGTAATACAGTGTTCCTTCACTTTTCCGGTGACATGTTCTGAGAGCCCCCACCCAGCCCCTGCAAGTGAATTAGAGTAGACCAAATTAGAGGTTGACCCTTTTTTATTTATTTATTTATTTATTTGCGAAGGATTTACACCTTTATTAAGCCATTACACCCCCCCCCACACACACACACATGCACAGTCCCCACCCTTACGAACATTTGTTACAATTGATAAATCTAACTTTTAAAATGCAAACTGTAGAATAAATAGCGAGCCGCTGATTATAGGCAAACAACTGTCTAATTTTCATGGTCTTGGGGAAAAAAAATTTTCCTAACAAAAAGCAAAAAAAAATCAATTTTTTTTTTTTTTTTTTTTTTTTTTTTTACTAGTCTGACTTAGAAGGAAGAAAAACAGCAAGGAAATATCCCAAAATAGCAAGGTAAAAAATGCAAAAGATGAAGTTATGGTCACAAATGAAAATATGGAATGGAGTGAATCCGCAATAACCAAACGGCCAAGTGGCGAGGGAACACTGTAGTTGAATTCCTCTCCAATGCTAATCTTTCGTTCTTTTGCATTTTTAGTCCTATGAATGTATATGTTGTGATAATATTGCTTTTGTGATGCCCTTATGTCCCTCACAGGCTTAATAAATATCTGCATATATCAGAGCCCCTGTTTTGCCAGCGTAAATGCACCGTGGTTTTGAATGTGCATATTCTTGTGTTTGTCGTTTGTCAGGCAAAAATGGAGCAAAAAATGAAGCACAGCGCATCGTTGTTGTCATGTTCCTCGGGGGGTGCACCTACTCTGAGATTTCAGCTTTACGTTTTCTTGGTAGAGAAAGAGGTAAACAATCTAAATGTTTCTCCATGTCTTATATATGTATTTTTTAAATACCACTTAGACGTTTTTGCCATAGTTTAGTTCAACAGGTCACATGAATTTGTTTTCCACCATCATGTGCTATCTTTTTAGACTAGTTTTCAAATGTTATACAGTATCGAATTTGCAGTCTTTAACAGAAGATTATTGATCACTGAAAATAGAATCTTGAAACTTCATTCTGGCATGTTAACAGAAATAGGTCTTATACTGTGAGAGGCTCAAGACTTAAGAGAATCGTAACACACACTTATTATGCAAGAAGTAGATTGATGTATAAATCAGGGGAAAGTAATAGAATGCATACGTACATATATTTCTTCATTTCACATGGAAATAGCTCAGAAAGCCTCACGACAATTTTGGTTGAATAATATATTGCTGTGAGGCACAAAATGTTTAAGCGCAATTTAATACTGATTCTTTTTTTTTTTTTGGTTATTATTTTGTTTTTGTACACAGGATATAAATTTATTGTGGTAACGACTGCCATTACAAGCAGCTCAAGACTGTTGGAAACCTTGCTGGGCAACCATCTATGATGAGCCAATGTGAGCCTGTCAGCTCACAATGATGTACCTGAGAAACATTCCTGTCACTCTACAACCAACTGTGATAGTTGTTGACTTGTCAGAAATTCCCAAAAAAGAAATGAGTAAAGATGTGCAATGTCAATAAATGTATTTTTACGATGGTTGTTTTGTCATTTTTGAACATGTGTCTTCTCGTGTAGTCAAAGTATGGGTGGTCTATGATTATCGTCATTAAGCCCTCTTCTTCTGACTTTTCTGCGCAATATCGGCCACCGCCCTTAACGGCTCTCTCTACTTTCGCCGCAAGCTCCTCCGGCTGGATGGATGGATTCCATGACTCTAACTGTCTTCTCATTTGGGGCTGCCATTCACTCAGGCCCCCTCCATACAATACTAGTCTTATCTTTAATTCCTTCTGTCTTAAGGACTGGGGAGAGGGGATCATCGCCGCGGCTCCTTGCTCAGAGGGCCGGGGGGATGAATGCAATTCCCCTTCTCTATCGCTCATGGTAGCGTATTCTTGCAGCCCGCTATGCTGAACTCTAGCGTATTCTGAAGCCCGTCTTGCTTTTCTCTAGCTTGTTCTAAAGCCCGTCTTACTTTTCTCTAGCGTATTCTGAAGCCCGTCTTGCTTTTCTCTATTAGCGTGTTCTGAAGCCCGCTTTGCTTTTGTTGTAGGAGCGGAACTGTTACTTTTCCGAGGCCTTCCCGTTGCGCTTTAGGGATCAGGGACGTACTACAGTTCCTCGGTTACTCAGCTCACACCTCTTGTGCTTTGCTTCTCTACTACTCCAATATTCAGCTCCAAGCGTATGTTCCAACAGTCCTTGCAAGCTGATATTGTCTTCAAACGGTGAACACATATTCCAGCATGGACCGTAGTCCATTCAGACCTCACTCGGTCCGATTGATCCTCTTTCTGTTCTGAAGAAAAACCAAAAAAGTAATCCAAATTCTGAGTCGTTGTCCAAATATTGTCTCTGCTGGGTAAAAATCCAAAACTTGATCCAAAAATCTGGAACAGCGTAATCCAAAAAGGGAAAAAGGTATTCCAAAAAGGTGTAAATCCAAAACCTGGAAAAATCCTTCTTCACCCTAGTTGGGCTAAAAACTCCAAAAGCAGCAGCAAGGACAAAAAAATTGAAAAATAACAAAAAGGATTAAAAGAGAAAAAAAGAAATAAAGGCGGTAAAAAAGGTCAAAAAGAAAGGGGAATAAGAGTCAAAAAGGGCATAAGGGTTTTAATAAAATGAATGAAAAAGGTCAAAAAAGGAAAAAGAGCAAAAGAAAAAGTAAAACCTAAAACGGCAAAAAGGAATCAAAATCCTTCAACAGCCGAATCGTGTTAAAAAAGCAAAAAGAAAAGGCAAAGGGAGGGTAACACAAGGAATGCCGGCTTCGGCTACTATGGGAAGGGCGTCGGCTATCAAGGAAAAAGGTGTATAAATTTCCCTAGGTGCGCCGATAAAAGAAAATAGGGAATAAGGAAAATCTGTCAAAAAGGGGAACTTAAGGCGTCCTATAAAGAGAATAAGTAGGCGTAACCCCAAAGGGCAACCTAAATATCCCAAGCAATAGTTCAGCATTCAGAATTCTTTTTTCTATTTCTTCCAGCTATTTAAAGGAACTTTTTCGTTGTCCCCACTGAACAATACTTCCAATAAATCCACTGCTATTTCATCTGCTACTGCAGCGACAGCCTGAGCCTCTGTCATCTGCTCAACGGCAGCATCTATGATCAAGGCTCTATTATTCACCAACCTAGGAATGACGTATTCCCAGCAAGCCCCCTCCCACAAGGAGCGTCGTGCAGCACGCTCCGCAAGATACGCGATCAGTATCTGAGCTGCCGACCAGAGCAGCAGGTCACAGCTAAACCCCATTTGGCTTAATGGGTCTCACACACTCACTCTAGAGTATGACTAGGGGGAACTTGCTGCCGTTGCTCTATGACACAAAATAGTGCTATCTCTTCAGCTACGAGATCCGCTTTGGACCCCAAACCGAATAGTTCTTTCTTAAGGAACACTCATCCTTTAAAGAGACTATTTTTGCGCCATCCCAAGGTCGCCTGACATGACAATTTGTCAGTGAGCACCGCCTCTCTGCGCCCTTTTTTCTCTGACACTTCAGAGACGGCTGCTCGGGTTCTTTTAGGGCTCTGATCGATCCCGATTCTTGTCAAATCAATCAATCGAGCCCCACGTCTGGGCGCCACATGTCAGCGACGGGAATCGAACCGGGAACAAGGGGGGAAAAAGGCCGCTCTATCCTTTCCTCCCTTCAAATTTGATTTATTCCCGAAGGTCGGCCCTCCCGGTAACGGGCTTCCAAGGGACGAGAGGCCTCGAGTGAGAGAGAGAGAAGAAAAAGGGGGAGCGGGCGGCCCCCGCCGCCGCTCTCCCTCTCCCTCGCCCGCTCGCACACACGCTTCCTCCCTTTTT